CAGGAATATCCAGATTTCTATGACTTCTCCAGTGCTGCTTGCAGGTCCTCTACTCCTGCTCCTAGCAGGCGCACCCCTTCCCCTTCACAAGGTGGATACCTGGGTCCTGATTTATATAGCCACAGTAAGACGTCACCAAGCGGCTTAAAGTCAGTTTACCTACCTAGCCAGACGTCACCTAAAAAACAGGAAGAAGCTAGGAGAGAATATCCACTTTCCCCTGATGGGCATCCGCACAGACAGAAGAATGAGCCAACACACCTGGACGTCATCGAGCAGCCTTCCCAGCGGCCAGACTTCCCTTTGGTAGCCCCAGAAAATTCTGGTAGTGGTCCGGCCCATGTCAGGGGACGAACCACAGTAGAAACCGATTTAACTTTTGGGCTGACTCCTAATAGACCATCCCATTCTGCATGTACTTCTGAAGCTCCAGAAGAGAGGTCCAGTAGAAGACTGACAGACAGTGAGTCCATGGGCCGGGGAGCTCAGAGGAATACCGATGTGGAGAGGGAGGATTCGGTAAGCAGAGGAAGGAGGTCACCAAGCAAGCCAGACTTCCTCTACAAAAAGTCTGCCCTCTGAGAGCAACCTCCATGTCTTCTGTGCCTGAGATGTGAAGCATCCCATTTAACGATGCAACCCAACAACTTACCAGTGTCTCGATGCCAGCTGATAACTCCGTTTCACGTTATTTTATTCTAGGTTGTGTGTGTGTGTGTATATATATGTGTGTGTTTATTAGACATGGCATGCTAAGAGGGTTATTTTGAATGGTGTCTATTTTGGTTATTTGAATTTGTCTATTTTGTGTTTGAATAATTATGTCGGGAAGCATTTTTAAGAGCAAGCAGCTGGCACTTTTCTTTCTTTACAAATGAAATTTTTTTGCACTTGTACATTTACTTTATCTGTATTAGTTTTATATCTGTATGTTAGACTTTGTTGCCACATTTAAAGAACTGTATTTTCATACTTTTTTGCATTTTACCTTTCATCTACCAATTTCCATGTGCATCGGATTGCACACTAAGATGTATTTTCTTATGAAATAGTTCTGTGTTTATTTTTTAATTATAGAAATTCCAAAGAACAGCACATCAAAATGCTCCTCTCTTTTCAGTAATTGTTTTAGTTGAGAAATCTTCCTGCTCAGTGTCCATAAATCTAATGTCATTCTTTTTTAATAAGTCTTGGAAGCTGGTCTTCATTCCTTCAGCGAGAGTCCAATCAGAGTCCTGAAGCTTTCTGGTTCAGTAAAGGACAGGCAGGAGAGACGCTCTCTGGGCCCAGGCTGAAGCTGTTGCTTTATTCGCAGTGTGCATGCTGCCAGAATCACTGCCAGTTCTGGTTTGGCAGAGCCAGAGAGCATCACCAGATGAGGTTGCGAAGAGACCTGATTCCTTGGGCTTGTACAGCCAGGGGACAGTGAAGTGCCGCAAAGGGCTCCTGGCTCTGAGCACCGACTCTCCAGCTGAGGCGGGTGGAATGACTGCTCGCTGCCTTCCGTCGTCGCGCTCTCTATGGGAAACACAAAAGGGCTTCAGTCTTACGGATGTTCTTGATGTTTGTAAGCTTCTGTTTTCTTTTAAATGTTTTTCAAAGTTTGTCTGAATTTTGGTGTCTTATAAAAAGTTGTTGTATAATGCATAATGCTTTGTCACCAAAAACAAACAAACAAACAAACAAACAAAAACACCACACTTTTCAGTAAACACTACATGTCCTACTTGAACTCCATTGGGGATGCTGGTTTGGGTTTTACTGAACCACTGAGCACATGGGATCTTTTAAGGTCCTCTCCCTTGGAAGGGCAAAGTGTGAGCTAAGGACTGTTTTGTTTTGTTTTGTTTTGTCTAGTTTTGTTTTGTTTTGTTATTCTCCAATGTAAATATCTTAGTATTTGAGTTTTTAAATCACTTCAACATTATTTGAGCATTCACTTTGTATTTTTACAAACACATACACAGCCGTAGCACTTAGAAGAAAAGAGAATTCTTGAACATCCCCTCCTGTGAAGGGTATTTGGGAACCTCTTTTCTATGTACGTATGTGTATATATATATAAGTATATATATAAGACTATGAATCACTCACATTCACTCTAAAACTATGCAGGGCTAGGGAGCCTTTACAAGCTACCATATAACGAATCACATGCACTTTGAAGTAAATAGGTTTCTATTGGGTGTCAACAACTCTGATTTTTCCCAAAACTATAGTTTCTCTTGCAGTCTTTTCCTATTTTACCCTGTGGATATACACTCAGGAATAATCTGACATTTTAAAAGTTCCTAACAGTAGATAATCTCAAACATAGGGAGGATGTCAGCGTCTCTGCATATACCAGCAGACTGCTGGCCTGCGGCCTGCCTAGTTCGCTGCTGCCCATGCGTGTGTGCTCAGTGGTGTCGCATACTGAGCTCTCAGTTAGCACTCACCTGCTGCCATCAGCTACACCTCGCCTTTAAGGCTTCTTTTTTACAAATGCAAAAGCATAGGACTCTGTTCTCATTTTTAAGAAGTTTAACACAATAGATGATGGTGTCTGCAGCTCAGTCTCAGCTGTCTTTCTTCCAAAACAAAAGTTAATTCCATCAGATTTCTTAATATGTATTTACACACATGTGTTGATAGGAGTGGTTTTGATACAGTTTTACATTTCTGTTCTGAATCAGACTGTACTATGCTGGCAATGCAGGTAAGAATAGGTAGACCCAGTTTGGATGAGTAAACCTAATTTGGGGAAGGGGCCTTAATCATTTCTGGCCAGCTGTCCGTCCCCCCCACACACACACACAAAAAATGTTAGACTAGGGCTATTGATCCCATATATTGATTTTTCTGAAAATTCATACTCTTTCATCTCCCTCAGATATAATTATGAAATTAAGTGGCCACTGTTCATGGTCTTATTTAGGTTTGCTTTTAATAATTTAGTAGCTTACCTGGCTAAAATATATGAATAGAAACTTCCTTTCATCTGTGGGTTTGTGGATCGATGTGACTTGGAGAAGGTAGACACGGTTTTGTGTGTGTTAGGGTAGGTGTTACTGGACTTCTCACATGTCTCGTGATGTTTGGTTGATAGGGTAGGCTGAGTAACTTTGTGCCTCTGGCTTTTGAACCCATCTGTTAAATCTTTCTTAATGACGTACTAAGATAAATGTGAAGTCTAAGTAAGTTGCTCTCAGAAAAAAATAGGTGTGTGTATAATATAAAATTTAGGCCACAGGAACTGGCGTTTTTCTTGGTGTAGAAATGTATTGAGAACCAAAACACAATAATACTGGATTTCCTTTGGAGGCCATGGACAATCAGGCCGTTAGGACAATCACCACTTCCGATGCCTGCTGTGTTGAGGTTGGAGAATTACCTTTAGATACTGGAGTAGAAGACTCCAGTTTCTTATGGATGCTGTTGGTCACTTTCTTAAATTATTGTTATAGATTTTGATGAAGAAGTTCAAAGTCACTTGTGTTTCTTAAGGCAGAAACCAGCAGCATGAAGTAAAAATGGTCCAAAACATAGTTTGGATTTTCTGTGTACAGTGCCCATTTGCACATGCCCCTTTAGTTTTGTTTCTGTCCCAAAACCCACGCTAGCCTGACACTTCAATAATTCGTTAGACTTTAAGGATTTTTCATGAGTTCCATATATTTAAGTCTTTTTATAGAACACTCTGTATGAAACTTAACCTAATTCTTGTTTTGGCCTCCTCAGAAATCTCTGGGTTTTTTGACACTTGTCATCCTTTATTGGTTTTTCTTGTGATGTGTAGTTTGGTCCCAGCAGTGGGCACACACATGTACATACGAGTGCAGATGATGGTGCAGAATGTAAAGGAGACGGCCAGCGCGGCAGAGCCGGGCTCCAAGCCGACCTCCATGCGCCATGCTTAAGAGCTGTTGAGTTAACACTTCTCAGTAGCTACCTGCAGAATATGTGTTTTCCTAATGTTGAGTTTGCCTTCTAGGTAGGGGAAAGTGCATTTCATAAAACACTTGTAAGATACTTGTTTTGCAATTATGAGACATTCATGCTTTTTGTCTTAGGTCTGAATTCAAAGGGAAATGCTTCTTTGACTTTCTTTTACTGTTGGGTAGACCCTCAGCTTTCTCTTGTTACTATACATTTAGCAGCAGTGATGGGTGCTATTCCCAGGTCTGCAATGGTTTACTTAGTCTGTTAAGCGATTTACTTTCAAACCTCATTACAGATAAATCTTACTAAAAGAGATACCGTGCACACCGCTAAAAGGTATTTTACTGGTTTCCATTGACATGGTTGTATGAACAATGTTTGATGAAATATTCAGTTGTCTTTTTGCCCCATAGATTGCAGTAGCTGTCACGTAGTTGTTTGGTAAGTCCTTTGATTTTATTGTTTTCCTCTGGAAAACCCTCAGACTGTGTGTCAGTCCTCCATATGATGAATATTATAATGCCGTGCCGTCTCTGTAAGAAGATCACTTGCGAGTATGTGTCTTGGAGATAATCTCGTGTGTTTGTGCATTTATATGGGGTCTGTCTAAGAGAGCAGATAAGCTCTTCACCATCTATACTCACACGTGACTGTGTGTCTGGATTCCTGGGCAGGCGGTACAGAGTCCTGCTCTCGGGTGGGTGGCTGAAGGGTGCTGGTCCCTGAACTCCACTTGCTGTGCACGTAGCACATCCGAGCTCGGGAGAGGTGGCGTCTCACAACCCTGCATTTCTGTGCTTGTGCTGTTACTGGTATAAAGTCAAGTGCCTTCAATGCTAAAGGCTCAGAAATTTTTCTTAAACTGATTTTATGTCCTATGCAAGTGTTTTCTACAACCTGCATAACCAGTACTTTGTAAAACTTGTTTACGCTTCAATTGTACATAGTGTTTTTTAAAGAAATATATAGTATTTTTATTTAGGTACCTCCAAACTTGAATTGGTCTGTGTGAAGCATTGTAAAACGATACATTTCTCTTTTGAGTACCATTACAGTTGTACAGAGGTTTTCACTGGTTCTATTTTTCTACTGTTACTGATAAGCATGTAACACTGACTTTATCCTACATATAGTTGGCATTTCCAATAAATGGCTTGTGTAGAACCTGCTGAGTTGGGTACGGTCTGTTTTAGTAGTGTAGCATGCAGTCTTTAATTACAGACGTGGTTGTACCCCGCGAAGGAAGAATTGGAAGGTTTTCTATTAGGTCATCAGAAAAGTCATGATGTAGTTTTCTGTTTTTCTTTGCAAAATGCATCATGACTTTTCCATCGGCCCATAGATTGTCTTCCTCCCTGTTTCTGGGAGTTCAGCCATTCAGAGACATTGATTATTGTGCTTTTCTGGTAATCACACATTTTACTCTGAACTGTCACGTTCATTGTTTTCTAGTATTTCACTGGGACATGGCCAAGAGATTCCATCCCACAAGCACCTGAGCAAAGCTTACCTGCACCAAGGTCTCCCGAGAGAGGTCAGCATCCACTGCGTGGACCAGGCGTGGGCAGTGCAAACCCTGGACAGGACCATTTTTTAGGGACCTCTCACTGTCAGGCCTGGCTTAGTCTGAGCTTTGTTTCCCTTTCACACACAGGCTTACCAATATTTTTCTGTTTAAAAGGAAAATGGAATTATGCTGAAAAATTCTAGAGTGTGATTCTGGGAAAAAACGTGGGAAATGAAAGTTTTCTCATTTTTATTTTTTAAAGTTACTATATAAAATAGGACTTATTTAAAATTTTTCTTTTAATCATTCACTGATACACTCTGTGCTAGCATTTTGCCGTCATCCTCATGAGGCAGTTACGATATTTCAAAACCTTCTGAGTTTTAACTGTGGAATGCCAAGATAAAATAAAATGGAAGGTTTCTGTGGGTGAGCTTCTTAAAAATCTGAAAAAGAACTGAATAAATCGGCTTTCATTTCAGTACTTGTGAATTATCCCTGGAAAAATGAGCTGAGGCTCCAACCCTCCTGGCCACCTAGGCCTTGCCTTTCGTCAGGACATGAGGAAATATTTCTGTACCCACTCTTCCCGGAGTCTGGAAATAGGGAGCTGCCAGCTAAACGGGAGGCCTATTCTCAGAAACTTGAAACTCTAGCTAGAAATGACTTTGTCCTAAAAATCATTGAAACAGTTCACACTGAGGCACAGAGATACTGAGCGCCTTGACCAAGGTCATATGGCAGGGACCCAAAGCCAGGCAGTATGGCTCCAGAGCCGTTTCCCAGCCTCCAGGTTGTGCCGCACAGAAAGATGGTGGCCAGGCGGAGGACCCAGCACATGGAGCCAGAAGTAGATCCGAGCCTCACGTTCATTTGTTCAGCAATCATTCATTCACTCAGGACTTACAGGCACCGCTAGAGACTGAGGTGGCAGTAATGACAGTCACTGTCTGCCCTCACACTGGAGGGTTCCAGTAAGAAGACACTGAGTGATTACAGAGGTGAGTGAGGCTGGAGATCCAGCTGGACTCCAGGAGGGACTGGGGGTGAGGGAGACCTTCCAGGGGCAGAGGAGGGAGGGAGGCTTCCAGGGAGAGGCCAGGAAGGACTGACTGCAGTTCATGGGATGAGAGGACTTGGGGGCTAAGCTTACCAACCCTGGCGGGCAGGCGGCAGGTGCTGATTTGACCCCAGTGGCAACTCTGACAGGGTTTTCAGCAGGGAGGTGGTAAGAGCGTATTCCCAACCATCCTGGCCAATGTGTGAGAAGTGGATTGAGGAGAAGTAGGCGTGGACTCAGGAATCTGGAGTTGAGGGGACGAATAGCCAACAGGAGAGAGTGCGGACAGGTCAGGGCGTGATGACACCCTCCGTGACACAGGGACTCACTGTCAGGGAGGAGGAGGAATCAGAGTAGGGGAAGACCACGAGTTTAATGCTGCCTGATTGTCCTGGAGATGATCCCCACACAGCCAGCTGTAGAAAGGCAATTTGGTGCAGGCTGGGGCCCAGGAGAGGACCAAGCTAGGGGAGCTAGGTGGAGGTGTCCACAGGGACCAGTGACACCTGGACTTGGGACAGATAGAGTGCTTTGGGGGAAAGTTCAAAGGGAGTTGGAAAAAGAGCTCCATGCTGAGCTTGGAGGAACTCCACCCTTTCCAGGTCAGCTGGAGGGAGTTGCTGGCCAGGGCAGCTACTGGCAGGAAGGAAACCGGCAGGGGGTGCTCCTCAGAAGGCCAGGCCAGACTGTTTTATCTTCGGGATAAATGAAACAAGTACAAAATAGTGGGCCAGGTAGCACAACAGTAGCACAAGTAGACCACATGACAATGATCCTGGGTTCGCATCCTGAGACCTCCCTGAGCACACAGACGATGTGCATGCCCATCACTATGATCTGTGCTAGCTGAGACTAGGGACAGATTACAGCCCAAAGACCATGGGGGTAGCCTCTCTCATGAAACAAACTGTAAAACATAATCATGCATTTGTGGAGAAGATAAGGAAAAATATAATAAACAGGTACACAAAAATTTCTATGGACCAACAGGTGGTATGGAGTTGAAGGTGCTGGATCCCACATGGCTGACCATGGTTCAAGTCCCAGAGCCAGCAACTTGAAAATCACGCCGTGTGTGTGTATACTCAAAATCTTGAGAGGAGCCTGCAAGAGAAGACTGTGATATGGCCATCCCCCTGGGAGCAATTTCTGACTTTCTCTCTGCCTCAGGTGAGCATACATAGCCTATAGCAAACTTTTTCTTTTTAAGAATTATTTTATTTCATTTATTTTTATCATTATTTGTTTGATTTGGCCATAGGGAGAAAGGGAAAGAAGGAAAACAAGCCTCTAGGTCTGGGACTCAAACAGTGGTTGGCCATGTGGGAGTCCATCCAGCACCTTAGCCACCATGCCACCTGCTGGCCCCTATAGCAAACTTTTAAAAAGGGGGGAAAAAAAAAACTGTAAGACTGTCCCAGGGCTGTCTGCACGGGAGGACCGGCAATCTGGGGTGGGGAAACTTGATTGTATCCCTTTGGTACTGGTTGAGTTTTTTTTTTTTTTTTAAGAATTATTTCATTTTTACTTTTTTATTATTTTAAATTTGCTATAGGGCATGTGCAGTCACCAGAGAGAGACAGGAAGTGAGAAAGCAGGCTACCAGTTACAGCGCTCGAACGAACCACAGCCATGTGGGAATCCAGCGCCTGAACCACCTCCTGCTAGTCCAGTACTGGTTGAATTTTTAATTGCATGCATATATGATTTTTTTCCAGTTCATTAAAGACACAGGCTCAGCTATGCTCTCCCCAAAGCTAACTCAGAGGTTTCAGAAGATCAAGCCCCTAAGGTGCTGAATGTAGCCACTTGGAGAAGGTGCATGGGGCTGGGAAGAGTGGTTTGGTGTCAGGACGGGAAGAGATTCCCAGAGGACTGGGTCTGGGGAGGCCAAAGTCTGAGTGGGAGATGAGAAAGTGGAATGACCTGTGTAGACAGCCTTCTGAGGAAACTGAAGGAGTTGGGAGGTGTGAGGAGGTGACTCTAAGAGGTGATAGAAGCTGAGAGGCCTTGTCAGTAGCCAGCCTGCACCTGTTGGTCCTCCTGACCTGTCGTGAGAGAACTCTGTCACAATAGGCTTGTGGCCCACTGGGAGATGGCTGACCCCTCTACATGGAGGTGGGCAGCTCAGCATCACTGGTCCTTGAGGACGCTCAGCTCCCACTCAGGCGTTCGGAAGTTACTCCACAGTGGCTGCTGCTTTGTTTTATTGGGCTGTGGGGAAAGTCAGTGTACATTTTTGCATAGAAAAACTGAAAAATATGTCATAACTTTCCTGTGACCTAATAGAATCCCCCAGGGAACACCTGTCGCTCACCAGTTCACATGAATTGTGGTATTTGCTCAAATCCAGTGTTTGAAGGCCAGCAGGTGGCGTGGTGGTTAAGAGCACTGGATTCCTACATGGCCAGCTACATAGGAGTTCAAGTTCCAGACCTGGTGGCTTGCTTTCTCACTTTTCCTCTCTCTGTCCCTCTCCAGTTCTTCGGGATAAATGAAACAAGTACAAAATAGTGGGCCAGGTAGCACAACAGTAGCACAAGTAGACCACATGACAATGATCCTGGGTTCGCATCCTGAGACCTCCCTGAGCACACAGACGATGTGCATGCCCATCACTATGATCTGTGCTAGCTGAGACTAGGGACAGATTACAGCCCAAAGACCATGGGGGTAGCCTCTCTCATGAAACAAACTGTAAAACATAATCATGCATTTGTGGAGAAGATAAGGAAAAATATAATAAACAGGTACACAAAAATTTCTATGGACCAACAGGTGGTATGGAGTTGAAGGTGCTGGATCCCACATGGCTGACCATGGTTCAAGTCCCAGAGCCAGCAACTTGAAAATCACGCCGTGTGTGTGTATACTCAAAATCTTGAGAGGAGCCTGCAAGAGAAGACTGTGATATGGCCATCCCCCTGGGAGCAATTTCTGACTTTCTCTCTGCCTCAGGTGAGCATACATAGCCTATAGCAAACTTTTTCTTTTTAAGAATTATTTTATTTCATTTATTTTTATCATTATTTGTTTGATTTGGCCATAGGGAGAAAGGGAAAGAAGGAAAACAAGCCTCTAGGTCTGGGACTCAAACAGTGGTTGGCCATGTGGGAGTCCATCCAGCACCTTAGCCACCATGCCACCTGC